GATTGGCAACAATGATTTCTTCCCATTTAAACCTGTACTGAATAATCGATTCCTATCGAAGTTGGTGGCCCCTGTAAGAATCGATACATTTCCATGGGTTGAAATATACGGAAAACAAGTTGCCAAGCTACTGGATCCGCATCTTGGTTCCACTGTGTGGGGCCGATGAGGAAGTTGACACAGCGACGCGACGCGAGCCGGTGCTTGACATGCCTCTCAGCATATATTTACGCACGGGAGACCCAAGTTCATCAATGAGTCAACTTTTTGTGAATGAATCCACTACTACGCGGCCTCGACGGAAACGGAACTATTCGAGATTGAATGATTCATCATTTCATGATTCAAGTATGGCAATCGAGAAACAAGTGCTCAGCCGCCCCGAACTCTTTGCCTATGTCGGCGAGGAAAGCTTTCTACGTTTCCCAATCTGTGTCTGTAGGGTTTTTTTTCTCTCTTCTTTTTTTAAAGAGCGCGTTTCGGAAAACTGCGGAGGCTTGGAGCACATAGCCCGTGTTTAGCAGAAAGGAACCAATCCACATCAGCTCCTGCCAAAAACTACGCATTTTAATCTTTGACAAGGGAACGTTCAGGCAGATTCCTGTAAAATGTTTAAGGAATTTGCTTCGTACTACGCCGAAAATTCACTGGCGGCACAAAAATCCGCACAATCGTTTCCATGTGAAACACTAGATTGCTCATTTGGCAATAGCTGATAAGGCTTGGTTCCTTTTCCTTAAAGTGGTCCAATTCCTACCCCTTTTAATGAAATGACGTCACGAAATAAAAAAGGCTACTTCCTAGCAATTGATCAAATCGATTCCATTTTTCAGAAAATCGAAGTTTGACGGGTAAATTCGAGAAAAAATCGGACTTTCCAAGGTAATTGATACAAGAAAATTTTTCCGTCAAGTCTCACCTAAGTTCGAAAATGCGAATCTTCAGGGACACTCGCGTTTCTTCCGCGCTTTCGAAACTTTCGATACGGCCTGGCGTCACGATCGTCGGTTTATCCTTTTGAGAATTCAAATGCAAAATTGATATCGCATTGTCGCTTGGTCAATGATCACGACTTTTCGCGATTAATTGAAAAAATAAAATGAAAAATAAACGGACAACATAACAGAGTCGAGACTAATATATTCATAGAGATGTCCTTAATGCCCCCTGGGGTGTGGATTACCTTCTGAAACCGCTATTACAGTGCGGCGCACGATTGTGCAGTGCTCAGGAAGAACGCCGTATTAACATTCGAGAGTTGCCAAATTTCCTCCGATAAAACGTTTATTTCAGCGGAACGTTATGAATACATAACCCTTGAAATTTTCAGGGACTTCAGGTGAGATTGTGCACTAAATAATCTGAAAAATTGGCAGGAAAATTTTCACAAGTTTACCAGAAAATTCGTGTTTTATCAGAAGAAATTTGGCAACGCCTGAGGGTTCATACGGCGTTTTTCCTTAGCACGGCAGTACAAAGGACTCGTGGTCTAGGTAAACAGCACGAGCGGCCAAGTTATGATAGCCTGAGGGGCTCATAACCAACTGTAGAATTTCACAAGTCAGCGGCGTAAACAAGTGATAAAATAAAGACCTCTTTCACGCGGACTGTTAAGAATATTGCTGCCCCCTTCCCCCCATCCTTTCCGCGTGATTTCAAAATAATGCATTGAATTGATGCATAGACGCATTTGTTCGATTGGGTGCACCCACGAGGAGTGGAATGAGAATCGACAGGGTGACCTTTTCCTTCAATTTCTAATGTTCTGACTTCTCGAGGGGTTTCAGCGTGAAATGGCGTTCAACAAGACAAACTCATTTTGAGATTCGGGCTGTGACGCAAAATCATAAAAACGATTGGATCCCAAAGAGAAAACAAGAACAGCAATTTGAATTGGACTGCATTTTGCAATTTGGAACTATAAATTCTGGCTTACCTGAAAAAACACTTAAGTGCATAGGGAAACTAATGTCACATACGTTGTTATTAAACCGGGCTAGAATTTATAGTTCCAAATTGCAAAATGTAATCCAATTGCAGGAAGAGTGGCACCCCCTACTTTTGCGTTATACGAGTTGTCTCCGATTGGCTGATCAGCCTGGTGCCCACTTTCTAGGGTCCTTATGGAAATTAACACGGGGCTACTTGTTCATGGAAAATACCTCGAAAAGAATGAAAAATGTATGCATCAGAGATTTCTCTGCACTGAGCAGAAGATGTTCAAAAACGAAAGTATCCATAATACAGGGTGATCCAGAATTCGTAAACAACTAGCACTAAGCATCACCCCGGTAACTATTGTTTGAATCGAGACTAAGACTCGAAGTCTCGTGAGTGCTCATAGATCCAAGAAAACGACTTTTGGAGACCCTCGAAATTTTGAAGGGGCCACTTTGAAAAGGGGCGAGGACCTTAAGGACCTTGGGGATTGCAGGGACTTTTGGATCACCCTGTACATGCGACTTGATAGTCGCCGTGCAGACGAGGATCTCCCATTCAACGAGGCGAAATAAACTTGTCGCCAGTGGTGGCAGAACGACGAGAGACAGATATGTTGCAGTTCATAAAAACAATGCGATACGATAAGCAGAGAGATAACACGCCAGCGAGAATGACTCGAATGGATCTCGGCTTCGCCCAGGACCGCGACCGGCTAGAATAAAAATCCGCCGGAAATCAAAGGAGAACATGGTTGAAATAAAATTGCGCTCTTTCGCATGTGAACGCCTCCCGAAAATTTTGCAATAATTTCGGCTTGGCCCGATGATGCAGGCGTTCTCCTCCCGCAGGATGTCTGATAAAATTTCAATTTGGATTTTTCCGATTTTTTCTCGCATTTTAGATGAATTTTCCTGATTTTTGGTACGAATAAATTGATACTTGGCTGATTTACCTAAAGGACATATTCGATGAATTGGCGCAAACGCTTGAAAAATGCTTGTTGCATTCAGAATTTCCCAATCCACGGCCGATTTTCCTGACGACGTCGAATTTCCTGATATTTTACGGGTTTTCCGTATTATACTGACGGCAGATATACTGAACCAGAGACAAGATAGAAGATAGTAAGGAAGGGAGGGGGGATCTAAACCCCAAGGTTTTAATCAAATGGTTGAGGCACCTAATCACTAACTAAAGGTGCCACTGGCATGCTGAGGATGCTTTCCCCAAAAATAAAACACAGATGATTTCACGATTTCGATTTCCAAAATGTTAAAAGTTCTCAGATAATCAGAGATTAAAATAAACTCTTCAAAATGAAAAAAAAAAATTTCTCTGGTTTTTTTAAACCCGAAAGTAAAAGTTAGAGATTTCAAACAATTCTGCGATCAAGGAATTTTAAATTCTATGACACTCCTCTAGGTTTTTTAGGTTGCAAACCAGCCTGTCCGCGTGAGGAGATTTACCTAGATTTTCATTAGATTATGTAAATAATACTTTTTGGAAGGAATATACAATCTGCGGGAATTAAACTAAAATCCGCCTAAAATGGCGTTTTTCGACGATAAAAAAAGGAAAATGGAAGGAAATACAGCGTGCAATTTTATCAGTTTATAAAAATCGTTTAGGAAGATGACTTTTTCCTTGCCGGCAAAAAAACCCATTTAAGTATATTCTAAAAAAATATTGAAAAATTTCATTTAACGTCTACATAAAACTTGAAACATTCTACAAAAAATGTCAATTTTTTTGCCTTTTTTTCCCTATCTTTCGTGGCATAAATATGACCGCAAATAACAGGAATCATCGAGTTTCCCCAGCTGTATCAGACGATGATAACGAAAGGACGATCGGCTGCGCGAAAACCCAGAGGCAAAAATTCAACGATCAGTGTACGGAGTGGCAACCTTTTTTAGCCATGACTCACACGCGCCTTGTAGGAGCCTTACTCCTTATTCCCATACGCAAAGCCAAAAAAAGTGAGATGAGGAGGGAGGAGTCGTCAAGAGAGAGGATATTCGCGGGTCAAAAATTCCGATCCCACGAAAATCGACCCAACTCTTTCTACCAACCGAATAATGAACTCCGGCTGAGAAAATCCTTCCAGGCTCAGCGAAGTCACGAAATAATTACCTTACCCCTCCCTCCGAGACGAAATGCGCAACTTCGGCACGAAATTCAGGAAAGCCGATGAGGAAAGGCAGTTACAAAAACTTGGAAAAATTAATGCATGCTCGGATAAAGAACAAGTCTCCTCAAGATAACATAATAGAAGAGATGGTCGACTTGATTGGCCGCTGGACCAACCAACAGCTGAGGGTGCCAGCATCCCAGGGTACAGAGGGGAAAAATTCCAGAAAGGAAAGAGTGTTGCATAACCGCACAATGGCGTCCTGCCGCGGTTGAAAACAGACAGGAAGACCCCGATCTCAAAATCGCCCTTTTTTCTCCCCTATGATAAATCAAAACACGGCTAGCAAGCGTTCCTTTTCCCCTTGCGTGACAGGAAAGGATAACCGGGAATCCTTATCTGTGGTCAGGATAAGAACAAACAAAACGCGACTCTCTGAGCGCGAGGGACAGAATCGGCTTCCTCACCTGTTGATAGGCGAGGCTCTCTGGACCGGCGCAGAACAATGCCGTTCGTAACATATGTTTGGGAACAGATGAAAATAAAATATCGGCTTTTCCTAGAAATTAAAATTATTGAGAAAACGTAAGGACAGTCCACAGTGGATGGAGACGTTGATAAATGAAAGTTGATGGGGATTCAAACGTAAAACTAAAGTTGTGATGCTTCTGGAACTGTCTAGGTAGAAGGTATCCAGATTTACTGAGGCGGTGATAATGAGAATGACAGTGATTAGAAGAGAAATTGGAAAAGTAGAAAAAGTTTACGCGAAAATTGGGAAGGATAGCGGCATGCTTTGATGAACGATCACTTGGGATCGAGTCCCAACGACAAAGGAAATGAATGGAATCGAGTAGTTACTAGCATATGGAAGTAGTGTCACTCACTGAAGCGGTGAAGGATTTAAAAAAGAGGAGATTCGACTCACCATGACTTCACCCTGATCAGGATTTCGCCTTCAGCAACGGTGGGCTCGGGTTTTTTAGCCGCTTTCACGTATTTCAAGCCGCCAAAACCAGTCAGAACAATGGCCCTCATCTCTTTGGCTGGCTCCTCGGGAGTTTTATCAGTGCTTTCTTCGGTTTTGACTGCGGCTTCCTCGGGTTTACCACCCTCGACTTTCTTCTCTTGTTCCTCAGCCATGATGAGAATGAAATACTGCGATTGAAAGCTGTGGATCGGAAGGTATCAAAGCGTTGAACGGTAACAATTCGAATCACGCACTTCACGGGTAAAACGCACTATCAACAGGCGAAGCGTCCGCCGAATACCGCTGTTCGTGCTGTTCTTCTCCAGGACAGGATGTTTTGGGGTAGGGAGGAGAGGATGGTGGAATGAGAGAATAATGAGTAACGATGGGTGGTGGGAGAAAAGCACGAAGCTAGGTGCAATCGTGCAAGTTCGGCACATGAAAGTACCCGAGCTTCGTCAAAATTCCTTTGACTGATGACTCACTCCGTGCTGGAAGCTTATGAATGAACCAGCACTACGTCACCACTACTCACAAAATGGCGAACGTAATGATTTGTTACTTGCTCACCGTTTGCGTTCCCCTTGCTATCAGACATCCCCCTCTTTTTCCCCCTCTTCACCCTTCAATACTCTCCAAGTTAAAAACCCCTCTCATTTATCCCCATCGACTATTCCAGAGACTGTTCTGAAGTAAGAAATTATTTAACAATTCCACGCCTCTTTTAATATTCTATTTTTAGAAATAATAATGATTTTCATGGTAGTATACTTATTTTGGTCTTGATCCTCTCAGTAACAGGATTGTCATGCAGTGTATCTTGTGTGCAAGCGTTGGCACAACTTCACCATGTTTTCTCCCGTTTGTTTGTAAACAAACAGCAATGCTGGCTCCAAAGTGAAGTGTCCAAAAGTCTAAGTATTTAAGAAAGTTCAAGTTTTACCCACAAATTTCAATCTTCATGAGCATTCTCCTCTTATTTTCGGCTCTGCGAAGACGCTCTGTACTAACATAATCCATATTTGAGTGATCGCGTGTAGTACCTTCAGTGATCAGATTGTCAGCTCAAGTTGCCTTTTCATAAATCAAAATTTGTTTTTCTCCTCTAATGATCAACGGATTTTCAAAATAATGGTGCAAATAGATAAGAAAATTCAAATCACGATCATTGCTTGCCGCTGACATTAGTAGCATCTTTCATGTGAAATGACTCATCTGATGACTCTAAAGCTCTCGAAGTTGATATGCGCTTTAAATTCAGAAGACTATTGACACCTGTCATCGTGCTTCTAAATCTTAGTCTCTTTTACGTGGTTTGGAAACCGAGCAGTCCTGCCGATTACTCTTTTATCATCAGAGAATTTGAACAGTTTGAACACGATCTAGAAGCAACAATATCCTCGATAGCTGTCAGTCACCCATCTCGTAAAATTTTCATTATATCTGATGATATTATTTATCCACCAATCAGTTTGAAAAATTGCAGCAGTAATTGTGTTTTGGTAAATAGAGCACCAGCTTTCCACAAAGACTTTGCATCTCAATATCCACTGCAAGCAATCGATTCTGAATTCATATTTCTAGTTCCAGACTCAACAGAATTGCCTGAGCATGGGATCCTGGAAGAAATGTTAGAGTATCTTGAACGACGCAGTATTGATTTTTTAGCCCTAAGATATAAAAGCACTGAAGGCTCAGACTGTCTACATGCAAATGTCAATATTCGAGAATGGTTCCTACAATTAAGCTACCCAAAGCAGAAGAATGTCTGCAACATATTACATGGGAAACATTTACTGCTAGCTAGGAAGACGGCTCTGATGAAGTTATCTGATCCTTTCATGCAACCTTTCCCGGAGGCTTTATATGTGCAGATGTCTGCTTTAAACTTTACAGTAAGTTTGAATTCTCTTCTCCAATATGTTGGATTTGCTTTGCTAACGAAAGCTTTCAAGGCTCTCATCAAACTTAAAACTGTGGGCCTGTAACGCAAGTCTGAGCTATAGCTCTGTATTTTGTAATATTCATTCAAGATCTCTACAAAAAATCTAAAAGTAGCTCAGATTTATCGCATATTTTTAATGAATTTAATCCTAAGTGTGCAGCTGGGGTCTTTAAGTTTGCACATGCAAACCTGAGGCTCTCGATAATGTGCAGATTAATTACTGTGCCTATTGAAAAATATTATGAATGAATGAGTTTGGAAATATTTTTTATAGGTTCAAAGAAACTGTGCTCCAAGTTAAAAAATTACAAGACAGCTTACAATACAAGTGAGCCTAAAAAATTTAAAAGTACCAAAATGTTCTCAGGTGCTAAGATTGTTCACCAAGTATACCCTCAGACGGCTTTGTCTTGAAACCCTGTACATCTGTTTTTTGTTTCAAAATTTTACTTGACTTTTCAAATACAAACAGATTAAGCATGGGAGGAAAGAGGATCACCCTCTTTACACTCCCTATAACTTGTAACTTCATTCTCCCTTTTCATATGCCCACCCTTTAGTAGCAACAACTGTCAAAAAAACTTTTAAAAAGCTTGAAAATTTTAAAAAGGCAACTCTTAAAAAAAACTGTTAGAATGTTTGTTTTGGGAAACCTTTTTTCAGGTATTTTTTAAAGTAAAATTAATGCTACTAAGTTTTAACGTAAACTCTTCAAGTATCAACTTTGCTTACTTTTTCAACACTAAAAAAATTTGAAAAAATGTAAAGAAATGCTGAAAAAATTAGTAATTTTTTCAAATAGACTTTGATGTAAATTTCACAAAGAGTTCAATTTTACTTAAAAAAATAGGCAAAAAGGGTTTCCTAGAAAAGACAATGTAGTTAACAGTTTTTTTAATATTTTTTTAAAAATTGCTTTTCCAAAGTCATTGCTACAACAGTAACTGATTTTGAAGCTAGCTCTTTGAGGTATGCCGGCACAATTGTTTAGGTACAATCTTCTTCTAACTTAAAATAAGCACCAGATTGAATGTCAATTCTATCTCCCTAACATTCATCACACTCTCTCTTTCCAGATAGTCATGCATCCCAAGCATCATGTAATGGACGGAAAACCATTGTTTACAAGTCAACATAATCAGTGGAAAAAGAACCAGCTTGATCTGAAACGAAGGATCGAATTCTTCAAAACAATGGGAATCAAGAAAGTCATTAATGAGAAAGGTAACACTAAATGGTATGGCTGTCGTAAGGATACTCCGCGGTGTTTTGGAACCGTTATCGAAGATATGCCATCTTATCTTTTTGCTGGAAAATGGACTCCACCTTGTTGCTTGGATGCTCTCAGAAAAACTGCTCTGCATGTTTTTCATGAGTTGAAAAACTCTGGAGTCCGGTATTGGTTGGAGGGAGGTAGTCTGCTTGGAGCGTTTCGTTCTGGCGATATTATTCCATGGGACTATGATGTAGACATAGGAATTTACTTAGAGGATCTTCATAGAAACAGTTGGTTAAGAAATGCCGTCGAGAGACCAACAATAGATGAAAAAGGTTATTTATGGGAAAAAGCTGTTGAGGGAGATTTTTATCGCGTCCAATACAGCTCTGTAAATCACATGCATGTAGATATTTTTCCATTTTACTCTAAAAATGGTACCATGACCAAAAATTCTTGGTTTAAGAGCCATGTCCAAGACAAAGAGTTCCCAGAAACATTCCTGAAACCTTTGGCATCCATACCATTTTTAGGTGAAGTAGTCTCTGCACCAAATAATATAAGGGAATTTCTAGCTTTCAAATTTGGAGCCGATGCTATTAACAAGCCTGCTTATCCCAATCCTTCAAAATTGGCTTTTCCCAATACCTGAAGATGAAGGAAAACTGGTTAACTTGAATTAACTTTGGATGAAACATTTTCTTGCCGTTCATAATTGATTAATAAGTTAATGCTAAAAGAGTCGCTGATTAATATGTTTACTTAGTCAGCAGCTTGTCACCATGTTCCAAAACCAACTAATCAAAAGTAATATTATTAAATCTTCAAATTCATTCGAGAGAGAGAAAGACTTGGTTGTTTTATATTTTTGTCCTCCATAAGGCACACTTTATGCTCAAAAGTGTATTTGATGAAAACGTTATCAGGTTGATCAAAAGAAGCAGGAGTACATAAAGTGCACTAATGCACAAGCCTCTGTTAGTGGTAGTGTAAAGAAATTGTTTAATGAAAATTCTTTTTGTTTGGTAAAAATCCAAAAGGAACCGTAGAATACACTGATTTTTAAATATTTTGACCTTTTCGCTGAGTGAAGAAATTTTTTGAAAATGAGGACATTTTCAGACTAATGAGGAAATTGCGACTAATTTTTCCCCTTAAAGAACATTTTAATTCCGGAGATCTCAACACACATGCAAGATTTCCAAAAAAATGATCTTTGTCAAAAATTCAGTTTTTGAGTCATGGATGGAAAACATACTCCAGAGTATCTTGAAAATCAATCATTAGTGGTTTAGTTCATTTTTGTGCCAATGGAGGACATAAAGTTACATTTAAATCAACTAGTTTTTAGCTATGAAAGAGACAGATGAAATATTTTGTAAGCTTTTTTGCAAAACAATCCTCCAGGTCTAAACTGCACATGGTAAAGCTGAATTCATGGTCTGATTGAACTTTTCTAGATATTTCTTGTTTCAAAATGTTTATCAAATAGATCCATCCAACAGTATCAATTTGTCATTTGTTTTTTTTTTTTTGGCATCGAGGTCACTTTTTAAAAGTATGGTGTATCAGTGGCCAAAGTGGGAGATCATGATTCTCTGTTTGCGACGTTGCAGACTTCCTGTCACACTTAGTTTTTTCTCAAGAAAACTAGCCGTTGTAATTTATTGAAAACTCTCTTGATTTTTCTTTTCTATCAGCAGAAAATTATTCTGTATAAATACTAAGCTATGAAGTTGGCTCGTTTCTCTCTAAAAAATAAATCTTAAGCAGACATTTTAAAACATTGTAATGAAAGTAAGTGGTTTTGCAGTTTGGCACTAATGAGAGTCTTAAGAAAAATAGCCATATCTACATTGCAGTGTTTCAAAATCTCATCACCTTTTTTAATATTTGGAAGGAAACCAATCAATATCCCCTCTCAAAAATTGTTGCGATTTTTTTTGCCCATACGAAAGTTACTTCAACTAAATTTTAAGCTAAAATTTTGGTTGATTCCCTCCCAAGAAATTAAAGTAGAAGATGAGATTTGGAAACCCCAGAATATAGATGTTTTTGCTATTTTGCTTAACTTCATCCAAATATGACTCTTTTATAATCAAATTTTTTTCCTCATCGTTGATTTATTTTTCACTGTGGATGTAATTTATGTATAGAATGAAATTGAAATACTCACGTAAAACATTAAAATACTCTTTATTCACCTAACTTCATTGTTATCACATCAATTTTACAGTGGACTTGGTAACCGTCTGTACTTATAAATATTTTAAGCTGACTTCTTCTCATTGCAGAATTCATATTATGGTACTTATGAGAGAAAAATTTATTTTGATAGACTGCGAGCAATCATTTTAACTTTAGGACTGGTAACTCAAATGTATTGCCTGTAGAAGTTGTTGACATTTGTTTGATTTACGTGAACACCTTCATGTAAGTTTCTTCTTTTAATTTGAATTGCACTATTTTGAAGTTTCACTTTGTTCTGCATCAATAACGTTGGATGACGCCGTTGGCTCTCGAACGAGTGCTAGAAGTTTCTCCAACTTGAGCTGCTCCAGAATGCGTTGGTCCATCTGAATGTTCTTCTTGGGTGGCTTTGCTTTCACACGTAGATTAGGCGACAGCTTCACAGTTGTGATAAACCCTCTGGTGAAAATGAAAGACAGATCATCATTTTAAATGTATGATATGATAAAGCAGTCATAAGCTAATCCACATTGATTTTTCTCTCTGTAGAGTTCAAATCTCGAGAGAGAAGCTATTTTTTGTATCCTAATGTTATTTGGACCGCGTTTAGCAGAAAGGAACCAAGCCACATTAGCTGTTGCCAAATTTATCTGGGCAACTCATTTTTTACATGAGAAAGGTTGTACGGATTTTTGTGAAACTTTCAGTGAATTTTCTGCATGATACGAAGCAAATTCCTTGAAATTTTCAAAGGAGCCCGCACCAACGTTCTCTCAAAATTAAATTACCTGGTTAAATTTGGCAATAGCTGATGTGGCTTGGTTCCTTTCTGCGAAACGCACGCGGTTCATTTTACCTGTGGTTTTGAAATGGAATAATACAGGAAATATTTGCTCATAAAAAGCATTAAAAATTCCTCAAATTTATAGAAAATTAACTTAATATAAGGCTAGGATCTTCTTCCTACATAGGCTGCATATATAATGGCTCAGCTTCACAACTACTTGCATCACCTGTGGTATCTCAAAGTTTTCATGTTTTTTTTATTTTTTAGAGGGAAATTAAATCAACATTATGGCTTTAAATTTTCTCCGATTTTGTCCTCGATATTCCATAGTTATTTTTGGGAAATTTCTCACTATCATGTTGATTTATTTCCCATCTAAAAAGAAAGGATGTATGAAAATTTTAAAGCGTTTCGTAGTTTAGGTACGTAACGTGAAATACAGCCATTCAGCTATCACTTTTATTCGGTAGCCCTGAAATCACATTTTACATAACTTCAATCATGCAGCATCTAATTCCTGTTTGAAGGATCAAGAATTTAATTCGATTTTGACAACAGCCGTTTCAGCTTTATTAATCATCGTCAATTGGAAAAGAATTTTAATCTAAAAAGTTTTTTGACTTGATCGTGGCTAGTAAGAGTTTAATACCTGTATTTTTTCTAAATCTAATTTAATTGACAATTACACAATCGTGAATAAAAGAAGTTTACAAGGCACTAAAATGTATTCTCCTGTTTTTCGTGTATTTTTAATTTTAAAGTAATGAATTGTCCAAGTTTTACAGGTGCAGGCAGAAGGTCCTTTGTTACCTTAGACAATAGCTACATCCATTTTTCACAAAAAATTTCACGTCCACGGTGAAACTCCCAAATCACGAATCTTGATTAGCGACATTGAAGACTTCCTGTAATACTTTCTATTTTAAATGGAGAATTACTCAATGTCAAATCTTGAAACTCAAAAACTCCCATAACGTTTTACTCCGTGCAAAGAAAATTCTGTGAAAACTTCGAGGAATGAGGTTGATTTGTTCTCCTTTAAAAAAATGAAATTGAAGCAGAGATTTTTAAACCCCTCAAACGAGTTACGTGGTTTAGGAGGTTCACCGATGATATGTAGAAATATTAGCGTTAAATTTGGCTCAAAACAAAAAGATCTTACTTGTCGTCTCCAATAATAATCACAGGCAAGTACCAGTTGAATGCTAGACGAGACAATTTAAATCGATTTTTGGCAACAACATTTTGCACACAGATTCCCCGGTACTTATTAACATTCAGGTCGAACACATGAATCCTGCAATCTTCAGTTACAGCAGCAAATACTGTACTTGAGTAAGGCGCCCATTTCACGTCACCAACGGAGCAGCCAAGATCGAAGACAAAGAGTGGCTCACTGGAAAAAAGACCAAAACTTTAATGCCAAATTACCAAATTTTCACAATTCATAGTAAAAGTAAAGTCCAATGGCCTTATTTGTTACTACTCTGAAAAGTGGGGCATAATGTATAAAATTAATGCAAGCCATTTATTTTGAACCTAACTGTTGAATCAATCGAGTATCAAATGATGTGGCCTCTAAACTGGTCTCAAAAATTAGTTTTCCAATAATAGTGTAGACAAAAAAACTAATATACTTCTGAAACTAATCTCTAAACTCATCATGTAGTTCATCAAGAATCTCATCATTAAAATTACTCGCCACATTTTGCGTCGAGGTGTTGTTTAGTAGGGTACAGTTTTTCAGTAATACGCTTTAAATTTTTTATGTGAAATATTTCACTGTGAGCTTCACATTGGAATTCTTGCCAAATCTTACTTGAAATTCAGGAAGCTTTATTTTATGAGACTACGATTGATCTCTTAAGAGCCATAAAATACTTTCATAAAAAATTGAAAAAGAAACCAATTTTTGACTGTGAGCTGAAGGCATTTAAAGCAACGCTGTAAAGAATGTGTTTGAAATATTAAAATATTATAGCTCACTTACTCTCTCCCGTCTTCCCAAATTTTCACTCTCCAATCTGCGCCACACGAGATGAAAATATCAGGAGAGTATTTATTGTATTCAATGCGATAAACAGGCATATGATGAGCTTCGTAAGTGAAGAGATATAACGATGCATACGCTGTACTGCACTTATAGATGTTGCCTTCCTCAGTGCCTACCAGAAATATTTCTGGATTTTCCGGGTGAAATGAAATCGCTGTTCCGCAACCTACGAAAGGAAAACAGAGGAATTTTGAAAATATGGCTGAATGGTGTGCATTTAACTTCAGTCATTAAGAGGCAAGAGGCTCCTCCATTTCTATTGAAAAATTGTATCCGCCAAAAAATAATCTAGATTTGTTTGTTTCAGTCACAGTCTCTAGGTTCGAATCCCAATTTTGTGAGTCGCAGTTTTAAATTCCATGCATCTGAAAAAGTGTATGCACTACAGATTGGTGAAATTGTGAATCCTTGTCCAACGTCATGTCCTGGAGATAATCATTAAATTAGAAAAAGGTAGAAATACCGATTTAGGTATGAAATAATCCTTTATTACTATATTAACTATTTTTCTCTGAAACAGTAAAATTAAACATTCAGCTACCTAAATGCTTTTTAAACTGAATTTTGCTGATGAGAATGATTTTTAATGGTGAAATAACAGGAAAATGCGAATCATCTCTGGAGGAAAATGACCCAAGCACCACAGCCTGCAAATTGCATTAATTTAAAGTTTTATAAAGAACAAAAAAAATTATCATAAAACTTTTGACGTGTGAAAAGAATCAACTGAACAGCTTCCATCGTAGAGTACCTTGATAAAGAAAAATCGTCTCAAAAATCAAACTTACCGACCAGATTCATTTGATTTCCATTAGGCCCAGCTATTGGATCTATATTCAGAAGTAAATGGATGACAAGTGTTTGCGATAATTCATTTTGCATTACTATCCAGCTGCATACTTTGCCATCAGCTGAGACGGAAAAAAAATTAAGATCCCCATCTATCAAATCTGGTCCCCAACACACCTGAAAAAATTGAAAACCATTCAGTAAAATATCTGGATATCTAGGAGGTTAGTTGAAGAGAAGGAAGTATCCAGAGTAACTCTGATAACGCCACTCTTCAAGGACTCGTTTGGTCTTTCAAATGATTAATGAAGAAATATCTATGTCGCTGGCCAAAAGCAAACGGACTTTAGCCAACAGCGGCAGATCCTGATTGGCCAAAATTTAGCGGGTCATAGTTTTAGCTGCTCAGTCTGCTTGATTCTTGAAATAAAGTCATGAGAAAATTGCAATCTTTATCTTTAAAAACATTGTGGTAAAAACTTTAAAAAAACAGATAATCTCTCATTGGGTCAAGTTATTTTTCAACTTCTCTTGTGCAGATCTAACTTATATGTGCGTCGATCCTTCTCATAGTGTTTGCTACTGTGTACACTGTATGGTCTTTAGCGGAGCAGCTTTTGAATTTTTTCAACGAAGTTGATCTCTTGAGCACATAGTTTTACAAAAGAATGATTTTTACTCTGAAGGAACCGTTCCAATAAATGCGTTGATATGTCTTGCAGATGTATAGTAATTTTTAAGAGCGTCTTTATACACAATAGCATCATCATGAAGACTTTATCAATGACTATCGACACTCTCTGAAAAATTGGAACTTAAATGGCGGAACTGTTGCATTTAAAATTAGTTTCATTTGTCGTACAACTGGGAAAAAATGTATCGGGTATTAATACTTGAAATAGGGTCCCAAGTAATTCTGATGAGGGTTTGCCGATCTCACGCAGTGATCTTGGGTCTATCAGTTAAACTTCGTCTTTTTTGGTGAAAATAGCTTCAAGATAAGGATAAAAGATCTAATGACGAATCGAAAGATCTTACCTGCCAAACTATGCCTCCATGTTTGTTAGTAACTGAATTACTTTCAAACTGAGCTTCTTTGATTGGTAGATGAGCATTGTACACTGCCACAGAGCCATCGTATCTCCCAACGACAATGAAGTTGGATCGGCTGGAGTGAATATCAAGGCACATTGCCCCAGAGTCACAATAGTTTATATACTCAGGGAACGATGGGTTCTTGAGAGTGAAGAGACAAACGTATCCCTCTGTTGCCTTCATTTCGAAATTAACTGATAAAATATTTAACTGAATTTATTTCTAAGAATAATGTTTTGTTTCCTTGAATAATTGAAACTATAGTACGTCTGATACTTTACAGTATGTAAGAAACTACTCAAAGACAATGGTAAAGAGGAATTTCCCTTTCGTTTCATGATGATCAGGGGGTCTCTGCGAGTGTTCCTCAACATCGCAGAAAGATGGAGATATTGAACAGGGCCTTACGAGGAAATAGAGGTGTTGGGTGCAGAAAGGACATTTTTTGGTTGCGGTGTTTCAGAATCTCTACTACTAATTTATATTTTTGAGAGGAAATTTTTTGGTAAATTCTCTGTAATTTTTCATTTTCAGCATTGTAAAATCATTAAAAAATTCAGTATAAGTCTCAACGAATTCCATGCATTCACCTTAATTATAATGGATGAAACGTTAGCAAAGATTATAAAACACTACAACCAAGAAAAGCCCTTTTTGCACCCAGCACTTCAATTAAGAGTGGTTCACAGCACGTTTTCCGTTCATTATTTATAGCTGTTTGATGATCATTCAGAAAAAAATGTTCTCAGCATGAAAAAGGATGGATCCATCTCTCTTAGCATGTGTCAGTTCTGTCGTCAGGCTAGAACTGAAACAGAGTGGAGAAAAGCTCCAATAGCTAAGACTCGTTGGAGTTCCGCTCTCCCTCACTAGTCACTCAAGTGAATGCTATTGCATGGTCGTGAAACGATCCAATACAGATCTAACCTTATTTGCCTAAACCTTCCCAGGGTCCTCAGCCCTGAAACGTCTGAGCAGCGGCGTACATATGCTCTTGGGCTCAACATAAATCTCTCTGTGCCTTGTGTCATGGCTCATCTCCACATAATTGTGCTTTGTCTGGGAAAATTATCCTCACAGAGACTGATAGTTAATTTTCAACTTTCAAAAAGATTATTAGAATAGATTAGGTATGTAACTTGAAATTATATATTCAAAGAACTTTTCAGAATACGAAGAAAAGGAGTAGCAGACAGGTTCTCGCCATAAGTATTAAAAAAAAGTAGATTCTTACACGATCCAAACGTTGCACCAAACAAATCATAGTAACGAGGGCTCCACCTTAAATCTGTAACAGCCAACTTTTTTGTCTTCTCGTATGAAAATTTCCATAATGGGAGGAGAGTTCCTTGCCCATCTCGAAACTCATCTGATGGATCTTCATAGTACCTGAAATCTAATCCAAAATGTTGTTATCGAAGATTGAATCTGGCATTCTGAACGGCATGATTTATTAGGGAGGACCACTCACATGAAAAGAGATCAAATTTTTCAGGAAAGCTATTTTCGGTCAGATGGGGTGAAAATGTAGGTTTTTTATTTTGGAAAAAAATGCAAACCCAACTCCCAAAGCAACCTCAGATCAAGCAACTCAAACTCCTTTAATTTATTTTTGATGGAATATGTTATTAGCTCTGAAATTTTGGTCATTAGTATGAACAAACTCGGTTTGGTGCAATGCAAGCAAAAACATAACTGTACCAGGGTAAAAAACCTCGGTTCCTACCTTGGGAGATTTCATCGTACAAATTCTGATTCACCATTCTCTCTATAATTTTGGCTGCTTGTAGTAAACGGACCATGGTAGGATCCATGCCACCTTTCGACGACTTCTTCCGTGGCTCTTCTTTCTTAACTTGGGAAGTCATTTTTGAAACACGCTCTTTCTCTTTTTCTCTTTGTTGTGCTTCGTAATCTTGCTGGTATGTGTCGTAAATTATCCATTGGGTAACATATTCATTCAGTGTATTTCGTGGAGGCGGAATGGTCTGAGTTCCTATTTCCTGTAAGAATTATATTCGTCAGGAAATCGCAAGCCCAAGTAGGTAATCTCAAAAATACAGTAAATTTTCATAGAAAAGTCAGGGAAATGTAGGAAATTCCAACTTCATAAATGTGCTGCTTCATCGAAATTATCGTAAAAATTTCAACTCAAGCAGCGGCTGCCAATGCACCCGGTTTTTAACAGCGAAATGAATAAGAAAAGCAATAATGAAGTTTAGTAGAATAAAGTTACAGGAAAAAGTGTTTTTCAAGTATACAATTTTTTAATCAACAACAGTACTTAATAAATAAAATTTCAATTGCAAATATTGCCTCTTGTGCTCGTGGTTGTTCCATAACTTTTTCCATGACAGTTTTTATTTTATTCAAGTACCTATAATGTTTCCAAACACTCTTAGGCAGAAGTACATGCTCACCCTAGTAGGATAAACTGAAGTAAGAGCTGCACGGTCACTGAAATTGAATTGGTTGGTTAATTTCTTTTTTTGACCTTCGGAAGCACCATTACTTTGCATCTCTGAATCAGCCTCTCGTTTTTCATTGAATTTATCATCATCCTCTTCATCTTTCTCCTCGTCTGCTTCTTCATCTTCCTTGATAGGTTCCTCTTCGATTTCATTCTTAAAATCCTCCGATTTTGCTACAGGAGCAACTTGAGGTGTTTCTGTAAAAAGACTGTCTGAATGTGTCTTAGGATTTTCCTTACGAGATTATTGGAAGTTAAAATACTTTATAGAGAAATGGATTTAAACAATACCAGTCGACAATCGATTACTGAATGCAAAAGATGCGCACTGCGATGCAATGTTAAAAAATCTCCGATAGTTTTTTTCCTAAAGGAAAATAACAGAGATACTTTCTTGCAATTTTCTAATTTTTTAGATAGAATGAAGGAAATTCATAGACAATTTGAAAAGAAACTGATGGCTAGTTTTCCCTTTAAAAAACCATATGAGAGACTTGCAGCGTCATAATCTGAGGTATGCACTTTTCAACTTAGCCATTGAATTCAATGATAATTTCTATTGACGTACTCCACTCAGATAATGTAAAAAAGTCTGAATCCTCCTAATTGAAACTGAGTTTAGTTATCTTTTTTCTGTACCTACTCATATGAATTGAGTAAGCATCAATTGAGTCTTAATCTTTTATTCTGGAAAAAAATTCTAGTTTATGAAAATTCGACATATTTGAAGCTAGTAGGTCTAGAATCTAGTCTTTTTGGAAAACGAATCTACAACCAATCAAAGAAAGATTTTAGAAAATATTTATCAACCTAGTTTTTGGTCAATAACAAACAAATGTAACATTTTGTCCGATCAACTCTATTTGTGCAAACAACTAGTCAAATTCTTCATAAGAAAATATTCATCAAGATCTTGAGACGTAAGAAATGCCTTGTGTTTTTAACTTGAACACCTTTAATCATGGAAAGCTGTTAAATTACAAAGATGCCATCAATTTAAGAAAACATTACTTGCCTGGCATGGAACGACCATGTAACTGGTCCGCGGCTTCTGGTGACTCAACATGGATTACTTTCGATTCAAGCTCTTGAACAGTGATGAAATTAGGCTGCGGCTCGCAGCTGATGAATGCTCTATCTTTGTAACTATACTCAACCCAATCACTATGAATTAATGGATTCTTTACTACGAGAGATCTTGTGATTTCCTCTTGTAATTCCTAGAATTGCATGTAAATTTCAAATAAAAATTAAAATCTAATATTTTTCAGTAGATACATCATAATTCAGCTTCAAATTCTGTCTATGTTTAAGAAATCACTTACTTAAATAAAATATAATTTTTCAGCATTACGTATTTGGTCAGTGATTTTCCTTTTTATTTTAAACCACCAACCTCCTTGTTTCCAGATTCTATACACACTATTTTTTAATGGACAAAAAACAAAGTAATCGTTACACCTCTCGAAAAATTTATTTTCTCCTCTATTTTGCAGAATATTCTATGAAAATTTCAAGAAATATTTTTGGCTAACTCCCCTTCAAAAATAAGACTGGAACAGAAATTTTTGAAACCAAATGGTAAACCATTAAATGTTTTTTTTTCTTCTTCTGAAAATTGAGTAACCGATTAAAGTATGTGGATATATACCTACAATTAATAAACATAGCTGCTTTTTGAGAGGAAATTCTAGTATTCAAGTTTCTTTGAAGAAATTGGAAACAATTTCAGAAATAAAATATGCAATGAACGAAACAGAGTTACCTTCTCGCTTAAATCCAGCTGATCATCAGGTTTCAACAAACTCTTCCCTTTCAGCCATGGATCACTTTCCTCGCCACCCGGTTCTCGCAGCTGATAAGATGATTTTACTTTTACTGGTGATTTTATTGATCTTAATCGCGATGCCTGTGTGGAAATGAAGTGATAGAGCAAAGTTTAAAACCGTAATACAAGACATAATAAAGGAGAATTCTGACAGAATCTACAGAATAAAGGTAAAAGAATGCAACTGAATTTTTCCGTCGAAGGTTGTACGTTGAACCTTTGCTATGATTGAGCAGGACAGATGACATGTTGGCAACATCATAATATTCAATTCTGATTTATACCTAAATTCCTTTATTGCGGGTTCAAATAGTTCTATAATGCTTTTCCTGAAGACAACAACAATGCTTCTCTAGTCAATGAGTGAATTTAAAAGATCAGACAATTAAAAAACTATATAGTTTTTGCTTGGTAAATATCTACCAATGCTTCTTTCAAAATTTAAGCCTTTCAGATAGCTTTTTGAGGAAGAAATTTGATCAGGGAGTTGGTCGCAGCTTTTTGTGTTAATGGAATACTTACCTGTTGGATGCATTATTTAATTAGAAAACAACAAAAATTGACAAATAACGCAGCCCTGCGTTTTTTTGGTCATGTCTTGTTGCATGGAATAACTTGACTAATTCCTATGTATTTTTTAGCGCTGAGTTTGGGAAAAATATCAAAAAAATTCCATCACGTCAGGATTTTCTGCAAATTCAAAATTTTGGTTTTTATGGGGCAAAAATTTCCAAAAAATTGAATTTTTATTTCTTTTTCAATTCAACCATTGATTTTGGTCTGTAGTATCTCTACTAAGTATAAAATAACCATTGCACGTCAAAAAGAAGCCTTAAAGAGTGATACTTGTCCGAATTTCGTCAAATTTTATGCATTTTTAGATGATTTTTTATCTTATTTATCTTACTTACCGATTTTTGAGTAGTAACAGGGGGCGGTTTTCTTGGTGGTGGTTTTTGTGGCATTTTCTCCAAGTTTCAATGTACAACAATTTAATTAAATTTACTTATTAAATTTACTGTTTTCAAAGAACTATGTGCAAAATCTCAGAACGCTGTTGTGAAAATCATTCAAGGATCCTACATTGCTCTGGATTGTTATGACTTCAAACAATGTTTCGGACAACAAAAGCATTTGTTAATGTGACATTCGTTATCATTAGGAATGTGTGCTCACTTTAAAGAGGAGTAAACTCTTATAGAAAATTGAACACAGATTATGAGATACTTATAACAGTTGCAAACACCACTAAAATTGATTGGCCACCCTATCACATTCCCAGCTCAAAACAATCCTCTCAGCACCCTAGCAACCAAGTACTGTTTACAATCTAAGATATGTATCTGAGAAGCAGCATACATACCCGATGAAAGAAACTAAAGAAAAGCAAATTTAAAAAGATATATATATTTTGGGCAACTTGATAGTTCTAATAAAAGCTTATATTTCTAGCAAATCTTTCATTTTCATTTCTTATAACTTTCTCTTCAAAGGCACCCAGTAATGAAGACATTTCTGTCAAAAAGTTTCATTAGAATTTAGTATGATTTTTAAATCTTCATCGTAAGCATTAATGTAAGCACCCAATGTTCTGGTATCATTGACTTTACTCAAGCCATTCTGTTAAAGTAACGTTTACATTGTATTTGAACAGCTCCGCTTTAATCTAGACCTTCTTCAGTAGCGTTAATTATTAAGATTTTAGCAAGAAATTTGTCCTGTTCAGTTGAAAATAAAGTAGATTCAAAATCCTCTTAAAACGTACGTACTAAGTAGCCTTTTGAAAATTTTGTGTGAACTTGTACTTGTGCACTTTTTATGAATCCTCCATTCGATTAGTCAAGAAAATATTACTGCTCATACGCAGTTTAATATTGCAACTGAGTCATACACCTTCTTTGATTCACAGTGCAGTAAACAAATTTTAGAGTTCGAAAAGGTTTTAATGTAAACTCGTATTTTAAATGAAGACATCAGTGCTAAGAGTCTACTAAAAATTGGGAAAAATAAGTTTGCCCCTTGAGAGTTAAGAGAACCCTGATTATGAAATGTCGGTAACATTTTGCCACGAGACAACATCAAATATATCATGTGTCTGGAGTTGTAGTCTCAATTGGACGGAGTTAAACAGAAAGGAACCAAGCCACATCGGGATCGAACCGAGAAAAAGAGGCTTCAAGTTAAGCTCCTGCATAAGACTCAATGTAAAAGACAAACTTCAAATTCAATTTCTGCAAAATTTGCTCCAACAAAAACATTGAATTTTTGGCGATAGATAGTAGAGCAGTGGTTGAGTTCAAAACCACTCATAACTCAATTTTTTCCAAAATGTGGGTTGGTTCCTTTCTGCTTAACTCAGTCCAATTAGAGTTGGATGCTGAAAGTCGCCAAAGTTCAGCTTTTGGTACTCGCTATAACTTGGAGAGCTCATATTGAAAAAAAATTCAAAAAAGGAATCGGACTGTCTCTCAAGAGAAAATGTCTGGAGAGGAAGAGGAGATTCCGCTTAAGATAAAATGTTCTTGCTTTAGACTTGTCACACTAATGTCTTCACATTTTATGTAAATTTTACAAAATTTGAGGGCAAAAACTGGACTAAATTTTTCTTTAACTTTCATTTTAAAACTTTCTTCGGATAGATTTTGCCAAAATATTTCTTCTAGAATTTATGAAATTTTCAAAAATCAAACGTAATGGAGCGGGGAAAAGAACAAAAAACACAATTGATTTGATTAAATCTCAATACATTTTAATTTATTATTAAAAAAGGTTAAAAAAATGAAAAAGAAACAAATACTTCGAGAAAAGACAGTTTAAAGAAAGAACACAACGGTAAGATGAAAACATAAGACTAACAGTAATAAACTTCAAAAATATATTATTATACAAATGAACTCATTGCATACCTGAATGCACCGAGGATAAGTTACTGTACAAAATAAATACCTATGAGAAATAAACCAGACCTCACGACAGCGAGGTTGAAAAAAAAAAATGTTGGTCGTTTTTCATAAACAGAACATTCTCTCTTCTCTTCTCTTCTCTTACAAATTGAGAATGAGCAGTGATGTATTGAATACGAAGTTTCTCTTTCATAAAGAAAAACTTTAAAAAAGACAATGATACATGATGCACAGCGGTTCAGGTATGCAATGCAAATACGATAGCCGACAAAACCTAAACGAAAATTCTGAATTGATCCAACTTGTGATTGAGCAAAAAAATGTATATTAAATAAAGGAAAAAATATAATTCCTTACACTTAAGTAATTTACAAGCACTTTGTAAGCGGCAATCAATAAACACGCAGTGGTTTCATCCTCTTCTTTTTTACAAAATTTTCAAGCAAAAATAATTTTAATTGATTTTGTTTTTCTTTTGTTTATTTAATTAGGAAAAAATAGCTATTTAGATTTTCAGCCGTTCGTAGGTATAATCCTACACACAAACAAAAAACTCCACTTTCTCTAACATGTTTCAGCGAGGTTCTGAGTTACACATCTTTTCATTTCATCCACCTAGTCTGCAAGCGTAAAAGAAAAGTCATAAGAATCATGCCCTTGTGCAGAACATCTTACTTTACATGCGCATGAGATTTCATGAAGTCTGATGAAAAATCTTGAACATTACAGAAGAAAAAATGATTTCACAAGAGAGAACTTATCTTTTTATCTCCTCAAATGCTTTTAAACTTTACTTCAGTTTAAGACATTGGTGAATTAGAAATGAAGCTTGGAACTCTGCGTAATGTGAAACATATTAAGAGGATTGGAAAGTGACAAAGATTACTCATGCTTTGTCTAACTACGAACACAGCAATTAATTAGTAGATAAAAGGAGACAGCACTCATTGTGCTTAGAAAAATCCTATACATCTTCATAAGAGTGATAGGTACCTATTCAAGGTAAAACGTAACAAAAGAAAACTTAAAAATGGAGAAAACTTTAAACATACACCAGCGAGTTAAGACTACCAAGACTAATTAATACTTTCAAGCACAAAATATACGAAAAAATATAATGCACCTCCTACAATCCGTCGCTTGGCTGACAAAAGGGCCTAACTACAATTTGAGATGAGCCCAAGAAAGCATCGAGTTATATGGACAACAGGGCTCATCGTCGAATGTAGTTACGCCCTTACGTCAGAAAAGCAACGAATAGATGCTCAGAAGTCATTGACTTAAACTTGTGCGTAAGATTGACCAACAAAACTTAGGGTCGCTATTAGCAGGAACTTAGATACATATTTTGATTTTTTATTATTTTTCTTACGGAATATGTAACGTTTTTATTAATCGTAAGAGAACTTTTTTTTCAGAACTGAAATAAACATAGTACTTTCATGTGATACAATGACTACTAAGGGTCACTTTGAGTAGTAGCTGGCCTGTGGCCTGTTACAATTTAACTCCAAGACAAATATTAGTGCACAGGAATGGTGTATTTGCTTGACTGCCTAGATATTTGTGATACTCAGGTGTCTGGTAGCCAGTATCAAATTTCCGGTAAAGTCAACCATACATATACTGAATAGTCGTTCTCAGACAAAGGAACGTAACTGTTGGGATTGCCAGTGGCTCACCAGCCATCGACGAGCGCAACCCTCATTCGCGAGCCAGCTATCATGGCGGCCTGAATTTTGTATTGCTTGTCCTCTTTTGTGATTTTTTTAATCAGATGTTTATGTGTCACTTTAGATGAATAAACATGTTTCAAAATTAAAATGGCTTCCTAGTTCTCCTTTCAAGCCCACCACTTCACCACCAACAAACAGTAACTACATTCCACGTTGCAAAAATTCCCCTCGCAAACTCTACTTTAGCGAGGAAGCTGTTGGGCTTTTCCAGGGGAAATTTACACTCATTATGATTGTGAAAACACATTAAAATCAGTTCAATTTACGACAGAATAGAGTCATGCTCCACTCGAGTAAAAAATTAAATCAGTGAAGCTGTATCAACCTTGGAATGGTTGTACGTTCCTTCGTCTGGGCATCGACAAAGTATACCATCATCACTTCCCGGAGACTGGCATTGGCAAGCAGTTTATCGGAGAATCTTATGAGTAAATAGACAGTCCAGTAGTAACTACAACTCTTGTAAATATAGTTGATTCAACTACCCAGGTAGCACAATGCAATGAAAATATTAAAATATGATTGCAAATTGATGCAATATAATTAGAATTTTATTACCATACCTAAAATTGCAATTTGTTTACATAATGAGAGAATTTGCAAAAGTCTGAAATTCAATGAATGCTGTGTTTGAATGGACACTACCAAGTGAGCTGAACACGAGGATACCCTTGGTTCATGAATTGAACGATTATTGGAGAAAATATGACAAAATGATCTCATCTGCTAAAATACGAAGTATTTAAATGGGAGATGCCGCCAGATGACGTCACTAGGCGGTGCATTTTCTCGCTTTTAAATCTATTTTTATACTATTTCCCATGACAGAAAAAAATTATAAAAAATACTGAGCAATCAGCTCTTTAAGCACTTCCAGATAAAGCAATAAAAAATTTGCTTGCAAATTCTCCATTTGGTCACTAAATGCTAATGTTAAAACCAATAAGATGAGATTCATGTATCAGAAAGATCGTCATTTTGCAATACAAGGAGAAATGACAACTTATTTAATATTATTGCAATAAACTTCAATAAACTGTTTTCCTTCAATCTATAGATAGGTAACAAACGGGACACTCTGAAGCAGTAGCAATTGTTTTACTATATAATTGCATTCAGTACTACTTGGGTATTTCATCATTAATGTCGAAAGAATTGATTAAATTTCAGATTTCAAAAAATGGAAACATTGTTGATTTTCTCTGCATTGTTTGCGAAAAAATAGGCTCTACAGTTACTGTACAAAAAATAACATGAAATTGACTACATATTACAGAGATAAATCTTTAGTCAAATGCAGCAGATTCTGATTTTTCGGTGTAAGTAAAATAAGGCCTTTGAAATTCAATGATGTGGAATTGATCTAAAAAATGTGCAGTTCAGGGAACCTTCCTTATTTTCCCAGCTTATTTGAACTCTTTCGCAAAACACTTGATATCACTAAAGAAGTAGTGAAAGTAGTGGTGAAGTGACCTCAGTTCAATGCTGGGTTACAGCAAGCAACAGGGCGTCTACTAAAACAGGCAGGCCAAAAATCAGTACTTCTACAGTGCTTCTTCAGTACATTCCCAAGATTTTCAGTGCCTCCTCAACAGTAAAAATGCAGTTCTCATTCAGTACCTCCAATTGACAAAATCCGAAAAATTTCAAAAATTTCAAGTTCTCGCTCAATTTTCAACAAAAATGTCAAAAAAGTAAAAAAAAATTCTGGACCATCTTGCGGAATATATGCACTTTTTCAGTACTTCTGGACCGCCTTTAAAAAATCAGCACTATTCCCGGACTTGTAGACACCCTGTTTCAGGTATCTTGTTCACCTGAAACCTATTAAGAGAGTTTCCTACAAATTAAGTTTCTTCATGCCACTCTGACAACAATTTCTGAGAAAATAAGGATGGTTTTCTCTGGAAGCTGCATAGATTGCTTTCAATTTGACGTTACACAGCATAGTATATCCTCTTAGTTATTGAATGAGAGAGAAAATTATGAAAATATTCGATGGGTTATTTTTCAAGAGGGATAACACAATCGGAGCTGTTTTTCCATGGTTTTATTGGGGATATTGAAAATTTATTGGTTATCATTCTAATTTACAAACATGCTCAAAAGAAAGAATACGTATTTTAAACACCCATTGAAATGATGGATTAATTTTGAAGCATGGACAAGAGGTTTCTATTCAGAAGCACATAAATTAACAAAGGCTGAATCCTTGGAGAGGTCATGGGTGTAAACCGAGAAGAATCAGAAAGTGCGCAATGAGCCAATTTTCTTTTTATAAATTCAAACTAACAGCATGCATGTAACTAATTTGAACACATTGGTGCATTTGCTTGAATGGGTCAGTTGCACTAGTCACAGAATCGTGTTTTGATGCTGCATTCTTGTAGATTAGCTGAAAATAATAGGATCCGCCCAGACCGCGACTTTCTACGTTCAACATTAACCGAGATATCGCCCTTTGAAATGTCAGGTTTTTGACGTCATCCACTGCAGCAGTGACACCCTTGGTTTCTTCCTCTTTGGTTTGATCAGAGATACAGAAGGTGCAACACGAAACTTCAACGACGTTAAACGTAAACAAACTGAGGTGAACTGACTGATCGCCTAATCTCTTTGTGGCGAGTGCGTCAGCACTCTTCAAAGTGCAAATCCGTCTGTTTCTTGAGTTTCTTTACGTTTAATGTCGATGAAGTTTCGCGTTGCACCCTCTGCATCACTGATCGAACAAAAGAGGAAAGAACCAAGGATGTCACTGCCACGGAGGATGACGTCAGAAACCTGACGTTTCAAAGGGCAATATCTTGGTTCATATTGAACGTAGTAAGTTGCGGTTTGGACTGATCTTATTGATTTTCAGCTAATCTACAAGAATCAAACATCAAAACACGATTCTGAACGCAACTGACCCATTATCCGGTTAGTCAGTCTTCAAAGGTTTATGATCAGTCTTAGTACATACAAAGAATCAGCTAATACAAACACACTAGCGTAATAAATAAATGAAAAAAGGATAAATATATTGCTTTGCTTATCCATCACCAATTTTTCCCTGTTGACATGATAGAGGAAAAATGTTTACTGTGAGGATAAAGCTTTTATCAGTTCAAAAAAAAATTAGCTGCTATTTTATTTTACTTGCATTAACTTAATCCTAACTAACACCTAGCCGCGACTTAATCACCTAAACTAGATTTCTTGAAACTAGTTTCAGCGTTGAAGGTTTGAATGCAGTTTTCATCCTTCCTGTTTTTTTTTTTTTAAGAGAATACAACGGCCTCTTGGTCAGAATCACCTGGTAGGTAGTATTGACTTAAATCAAGAATGTAACAAATTTACCCGTAAAATAGTCTTGAGGTATTGATCGGTTAGGTACTAATTTCAGTCATTAAGGGTTATTTGTACAATATGGAAAATTCAAACTACAATAATTAGTCTAGTCAAGTTGTGAGGTAGATTTTCAGTCTTAGTAAAAAAAATATTTCATAAAGGGGTCACCTTTTCAACTCTGTGATAGGAAACATGTCAACCTAATATACAATAAAAACTACAATAACATAAATTAGTATTTTAAACATTAACATAATCAATTGTACATATTCATCAGTCTTACAAATAGATTTTAAGTCTTATAGGTAGGATATTGAGTATAGAGACAAATTGCTGGAGCTTGCCAAGTTTAAACTCATTGGAAAAAAAAAAGAATTCATAGTGTTACTTTATCAGGGGATTGTCAATGTTTGGATGAATCTGGATGAATCTTCCTTTTTAATCTTTGGCCCTGATGTTTTTATAAAATTATGACAATGATCGTTTCGGACCACTACACAGGTCAAAAGCAATCGCGAAAAACGCGTGCTTGTCGAGAATTACAATTGATAAAAATTAACATAACATTACACCGCACTTTAGTAGAATAAAAAGCGATATCACGTTATTTTTATCAATTTTAGTTTCCAGCAAGTACGCGTTTTTTGCGATCGCTTTTAATGATCATCGTCATAATTTTATAAAAGCATCAGGACCGAAGATTAAAAAGTAAGTTTTATCCAAACATTAAACTCATTAACTTTAATTAGCTTAAAATCAATAATTAGGAAAATGGGGCAGTGGCGAGGAATTTTGCAGGGTTGTGCTACAGTTTCTCCTCTGAATGATTTTATGAGAAAGTCAAAATGTTCGTTAAAAAGTAGAACCAATCATATATAAGAAGAGAAGAAGCTGATCAAAATCGAAGTTAACTGAGCAAGACCATGTCTGATGCTGAGATGAGCCGATAAGCAAATACCGTTCTACTTGTCTGGCTACATCATTGGAGCCTGCAAGAAATATCGTTTCAAACTGGTCACATTTTGACATGTTCAAAACATGATTTCTTTTGCCATTAAGGGTTACAAAAATCTGAACAAATTTCTAGAAGCTTAACAGCACTTCGTACTTTCAGAGAATAAATTTTTAAAAAAAAGGGGGCCACTGACCCACTAGCATCAGCTTTTAAATAGGCAAGTGAAAACTGAAATTATGAATATAAATTGCAAAGTACAAAACAAAGAATGGGTGAATCTCTTAAGTTTGATACAAACTTAACAATGTTCTGCAGAAGAAGACTTGTTTGAACTTGTGTGGAGCTCATTGGAAAAATCACAAATTTCACCTGTCAGCTACAATTTGCCTCTTAATTTCTACATACTGCAAGAAAAGTACATAATTTTGCTATAGACCTTATGAAATGGGGAGGGGAAAGGGCAAATCCTACAGAAAAACAAACAAACATGGCACAATTTTGCTCATTCTCAATGGAGCAATTCGGAGCCCAAACAGAACCATGAATTCCAAAGGATTCAGAGTAGAGCAGTGGTCTGCTAAAGCTTTCAGAAAAATGATTCATCTTCATATCTCGAAGGGAAAATTTCGTAAAACGTAATTTTTCTTAGTTTCACTGGTTTCTCTGATGAATAAGGGGACATAAATCTCCACATTGTTACTTTAGGAAGAAATGAAAATAGGTTTCACAGGGAAAACCGTGATACTTTCACTAAGATTCTGTTGGCAACTGGGCCATTACCAACTTACTGATTAAACGGGCTACGATGATTAGTTTATTTTAAAATTTTGGAAAAACAACAAGTTTTTTATCATTTTTAAGTAATAAATAAGTAAAAATGAATGGACGTAAAATTTCAGTCGAAAAGAGTGTTGCTGATTTCTTCAGATACTCCATACTTTTGTGGATCGAATATCATATCTAAGTAAAAAAAAACTATGATGCAAATCGCTACCAGCAGCTTTCAAAGAAGAATGATAATAAATTAATAAATTAAGGCCTTTAACAAGATAAATATACATTTTTCTTCTCCTCATTTTACTTTCTCCATATAGTTCAAAATCTGTTATTTGTGGCTGTTTTTATTTTTCTCTTCTTGAAATTTGTGGATCTTAAACTGAACGTATTTCTGCCGAACGGAACTATGTGCCTTATGACGTGAGCCCTGTTAGTCATTTATTCGTATGGGTCTCAGGGTTCATGTCTTAATGCACATAGTTCCGTTTGACAGAAATACGTCCAATTGAGTCTCGGAGACAATACTGAGTGTAAAAGTAAGGCTCTTACAAGTTGAGCTAAGTCCTGAGTATTCATGAGAATGACCACAACAATAATAAACATTTAATAACTGAAAAAAAGCAAAAAGCACTAGATGAACAAAATAATAAAGAATAAACTTATTAATTATAAAAAAAAAGAAAACAAAAATCAAATTAAATAAAAATTCAAACATTTTCTGTTCAGGTCATTGCGACTTGTCACTAAAATCAAATTCAGAGATAATAACACACTCCAGTAAGATTGAATCTTACAGATAGGTCCTTTCGAGACAGAGCATTTGTTTAGTACTTCAAAGAAACTATTTTAACTTTTCCAACGGACTTTAAGTCAGTAATAAAATTTCATTTTTGAATTAATAAAATCATAAAAAACAAACGAAGGATTTATAAAAATTAAGTTTTCAACTTGAGATCGAATTAAATAATGATCATGATGATTAAGATAAGTTAATCTTGTTTTAGTACCTGGTTGGAAAAAGTTACTTATATTAAAATTTAAAAATTCTGTTTTGATAAATATGGGATCAGAACAAGTCAATCGATAAAATTTTATAATTTAAACGGGTCATTTCTTTTTCTTTTGCGAATTAATTTCAGAATAAATGAAGCTTAAAAGATTACACTCGGTTATTTGATGAACTTCCTTACAATCGTTAGCAAAAACAAAAACCATCATTTGAGGCCACTTTGATTCCATACCTCACAGGAATTTTAAAATACTTGAATCCTATTATGACCGAAGTCTACAACAACAATTTGCCCATCCGGTTTCACCGCAATTCCACAGGGTCTATCAAACTGACCGTTTTCTTTCCCGTTGTGCCCGAATTGGGCAAGGCAGCATGTGCCATCATGCTTGATGACTTGGATCCTGTGATTTTTCGAGTCAGCAACGATGATATTGCCTCCCTTGTCGCAAACCACACCTTGAGGCCGCAAAAACTGTTTTGGTCCTGATCCTTCCGTGCCGATAAAGAAAATGTTTTCAAATGCTGGATCCAGGACAACGATGCGGTGGTTGTTGAAATCAGTAACAATGATTGAATCATCCGGACCGAAACAAATGCCTCTTGGAGAGTCTAACTGTTTCCAAATCCCACCACTGGATACGTCAAAGCCATACTTCTTGAGGAAATTACCGCGCGGGTCGAACAACTGTAAACGATGGTTGCGAGTGTCTGTTACAATTATACAATTCTTTGAATTGACCGCGACGTCCCACGGATAATTGAACTGACCGTTCTTGGCTCCTTTCTCACCGAACTTGAGAAGAAAAATACCTTCGAAAGTGAAAATTTGAATACGGTGGTTGTCCTTGTCCGCAACGATGATTCTGTTATCTTTGTCGACTGTCACACCCGCTGGTCGATCGAATTCACCATCCCCTTCTCCGGGTGTGCCGAAGGCTCTGATGAAAACCCCATCACAATCAAAAATCTGGACTCGGTTGTTACTTCTATCTGCAACGATGATGTTACCGTTCTCATCACAGCAAACGCCCCAAGGTCGACAGAGCTGACCTTCTCCGTCACCTTCCGAACAGAAAGTAAAGGCTGGCAATCTAATGTTGTGATAGACACGATTAGCACGAATTCTAGCAGGAGTAGGGAAGTGATGAGGATCCCGTAGTAGGTCAATGGAACTCCTTTGATTGAATAAACCATTGACGCCATTAATACTGTTCATTCCGTTCATTCCGTTCAATCCATTCAGGCCATTGTTATTCATTGTATGAGTAGGTCGACTGGGCCTTAAGGTTCTTGCGTTTTCGGGAATAAGATTATTACCCAGTAGTGAAGTTTGCCCTGACTGAGACATGAAAACATTATTGCTAGTCGAGGGTTTGATGAACGGCGATTGATCGATGGAGCATCCGGAAGATAAATTCCTCATCATGTTGTTGATTCCTGTGCTCAACCCGTTGGGGATTCTCTGCGAATAACTGATGGAGGGATTCCTCACAGCTTTTGCTAGTCCTTCTCCCACAGCAAGGCTCGAAACAGTATGATCCGCGCTAGAAATATCTCCCATCTCACTGATGGCCATGATGAGATTTGGGTCAGGCTCGATAAAACTAAAATTATCACTTTCGTACGGTGACAAATTCGCAGTGATTCCGTTCAGACCTCTCAGTTCGTGCATTGCTCTCCCTTTGGTTTGAAGGAGATCCACATTATTGCCATACTCGAGTCTTTCGGATAGATTTTCCGAGACTGACATGTACCTATTGATGGCTATGTGAAGGCATTCTATCTGCTGGAGGAGCGCTTTCTTTTTGCTGATCTTGGTTTGCTCCAGCTTCATCAGAATCTCCCTTTCCCGTTTGTTGATGAGCATCTGGAAGCGTTGAAATGCTGTTCGGACGTCTTTCATCACGTCGCAAGCTCGCATCTCAACAGCATCGGTCATTTTCTCAGCGGTCTCGACTCTCATTTTCATTGTATCTATGTTAGTATTTACATCTTCTAAAAGCTTTAAGCTAACTGTACGGGCACTTTCAATTGCATCTTCCACGAGGACCACTTTGTGAACCGAATGTGAAAGATCTCTGCATTCGCAGCAAATCGGTACGAAACAAGATTCGCAATAGAATCTATTGATGGAACCATCGTGGATCCGGCAATAATTCATCATCCCGTCCTGCACGGGTGGGCTCAGGCTCAAGATCGAGGAAGTTAGACTACTCGAAGTTGAGCCGGATGAGCTTAATCCTGTGTTCCTCCACATATTACTTACTGACTTAGAGGACAACATTCATTACTGACTTAGAGAAGGCAAGATGGCATCCGAGCTCCGGTCTTTCCAAACCACCAACTTCAGCTTTCTGAAAAAAAAGAAATTTACAAAAGGTTTTAAAAATGAGTAAAGAAAGCGCTTTTAGGGAATGGGTCATTAGACAATGTACTTAAACTATGAGTTTTCACGGCAAAAAATGGATTGCTTATTTTACAATTCAGATGTTAAAAAAGTGACTGAAATGCTTCAAATGTACATTTTACTTTAAAATCTACATTCAAAACTTGCAGTCACTTTTTTTAACTGCAAAATTGTTAAATCAGCAAATTAATTTTGTCCGTGAGCTTGTGCGAATACATCTTTCCACGCGTGACTAAAGTGTAAAACCTATCGCGCGAAGACGCTCGGAGCGCCTTCAATCTGAGCGGGTAGACTTCAATTGTTGACGTGTAGTGCGAATTGCCGATCGTGCGCTTTTGAAGGCTGTTCAGGTTTTCAACGCCTGCGTTAAAAGTCAAATCGGACCGCGTTTAGCAGAAAGGAACCAAGCCACATCAGCTGTTGCCGAATAGAATTGGGCAATTTAATTTTTTACACGAGAACATTTGTGCGGTTTCCTATAAAAATTTTAAGGAATTTGCTTGGTACTATGCAGATAATTCACTGAAATTTGCACACAAATCCGCACGACCGTTTTCATGTAAAAAATTAAATTTGCCAGATTAAATTTGGCAACAGTTGATGTAGCTTGGTTCCTTGCTGCTTAAAGCGGTCCAATTGATAGCGGCAGACTTCAGTATACCGCCGTGCTAAGGAAAAACGCCGTATGAACCTTCAGGCGATGCCAAATTTCCCCTGGCAAATCACTATTTGGATTGTATTTTGCAAAAAGGAACCACTAGCATTGCGATATTGCTAAGGTTGTGTAACTTCTTTTGTCTTGGAGGAAAAACCCGACTATCCATTAATAGTTTCTATTTTACTCGCTAAAAACTGTGAATTTAAGTCAAAAATCACCATCTAAATTTCATAGTTTTTCACGATTTCCGCAATTTTATTGCGAAGGATGAAGTTGCACAATCTTAGCATCATTGCAATGCTAGTGGTTCCTTTTTGCAAAATGCAATCCATTTATCAGGGAGATTTTTCAATATGTGTCTACCAATTTCTCAGATACCTAATTTAGTTCGTAATTTTATCTAAAGATTTCGAAAATTTTGAGGAAAAATATTCAGAACTTTCCTAAAAAATAAACATTTCAACGAAGGAAATTAGGCAACTCTCGAATGTTCATACGGCGTTCTTCCTTAGAACGGCAGAGTACAGCAGGTTACTGAATAGGCGAGCCAACTTGTATTGACGCGACGGAGAATGACAAAAACAGAACGAAAACAGAAGGGATCACAGCTAGGAGCACGTCCACTTGTCCGGCAGTCCTATCTCAATTTCGGGTGAGAAGGGAAAACGCGGGGGGAAAATCGATGAAAGGGGAAACTAGAGAAGAGGGAAGAGGGTCCGGTCCTTTCAAGCCACGGTTCCATAGACAGCGCACGACGCGATGTTCGTCGCGCGACCGGGTGCAATACTTATTTTGCCTGCTACCACTAACATTGACGTCAACTATTAACGTCGCTAACGTTAACGGCACTGAACAGGTATCAAATCATACCACCTGGTCGCGTAGAACTGCCGCGTGGCTCAATTCGCGTGGTTAAGTTCGCGTCGCGAGCTACCCGTGGGACCGGGGCTTTGTTATCATCCTTGCTTTCGCGGCCGCGTTACCGAGGCCAAGTGAGCAGTAAGTGCAATACTGAGGTGCTACGGAAAAATGCCCTATGAACATATGAAAATTGCCAAATTCTGAGAATAAAACGTGTATTTTAGAGGAAAGTAAGGCATACTTTTCCTTGAAATTTTCAAATGGTTAAGATGAAATTACGAAAAAAACTGCCTGAAAAATTTGAAGAAAAATACAATTTTCACAGTAAATTCGTGTTTAATTAAAGGAAATTCGGCAACACCTGTAGGTTTATACGGCGTTTTTCCTTGGCACGGCAAAATAGTGAGGTGCCGAGAAAGTGGACCTGGTCTACCGTGCTGAGGAAAAACGCCGCATGAGCCTTCAGGTGTTGCCAAATTTCCTTTGACAAATCACTAATTTTCAAGAAAATTTGTGAAGATTTTTTTTCCAATTTCTCAGGTAACTAGTTTTGTTTGTAATTTGATCTAAAAAGTCTTATATTTTCCATGAAAAGTATTGATAATTTTCCTCAACAATAAACATTGTATCGGAGGAAATTTGGCAACTCTCGGATGTTCATACGGCGTTCTTCCTTAGCACGGCAGTAGGTAGCGTCCAGGGGCGGACTGGCCATGGGGGCGGGGAGGCGATCGCCTCCTAACAATTTGCCGCGGAGGTCCCGAAGGGGCCCCCGCGGCGAATTTTTTTCGAGTCATCATTTTTTTCCCGTAATGTTGTAATTTTCCCATCCTTCTCAGTCACTAAAAGGCCCTGAAATCCTTGAAAATTTGTCTCTAAGAGACATGAAAGGTCGCCTAAAGCTTATGTGATGAAGGGACCCCCGAAGAATCCTGAGAATGGGATATTTTGAAGTTCAAGTACTATAGAATCCAACGCCAATAATGCTTAAAATTGCGTTTATAAAGTGTGAAATTTTCAAAATGTTTCGGGGGAGGGCCCCCGGACCTTCTTAGAGGGGCCCCCGAACGACAGGAGGGGCCCCCACATTTAGGTCGCCTCCTAACTTTTCGACTACCAGTCCGCCCCTGGTAGCGTCTGAGCGAACTATTTTAAAGAACGAATCCTTCATTCTCTGTAAAATTGTCAACGATCATCGGCAGGACTCTCAGAATCGTTCGGATGATCGAAAACTTGACGAATTGTACTTTTGATTGTATGGGTGGCCCCTCTCGATTTTCCTATCAGGTAAGACATCAGTTAGAGCTTCATTTTATGCGCTCGCTTGATTCAGCTTTGGACACATCAAAGCACGAATTTCAAGTTTCAGAAAATGGCAGAAAAGGGCAACATGTTACTCAAGACAGCGAAAAGTGCAGCTCGGTGGCCAAGTGCGAGACAAAGCCGTAAATTTTACACGGTCGGGCTCTGAGGGGCCCAAACGCCAGCTGGAATTTTAGAATTTTGTTCTAAAAATCCCTTTTTCAAGTATGGTGGGGGGATGTACTGAGGGGGCCTAGAAATACAGTCTGCGGGTGGGCCGATGGGCTCCAGCTTGGTAGGTTACGCCACTAGCGACACCAGCTGTCTATTTTCCCTGGCAATTACCGCTTGTCGTCGACTTCTTAAAATTTCCCGACTTTCCTCGATTTTTCCCTTTTTCTCCCGACTGTGGCAATCCTGAGACCGATTTCATCCCGTTTTTCTCCGGGACGAATAGTAGCGAAGGGTAGTGGTATACGAGGGTATTTCAAAAGAACTATTTAATATTTTCTTGACATTTCTCGACTTTTCCGATTTTCCCAGACGATGGCAACCCTGAGTCCGTTTTCACCCCGTTTTCCTCCGGGACGTTCAGCAGCGAGGGAGGGTGGTAAAAATTCAAAAGATCTTTTTTTCCTTACATTTCTCTGTTTTTCCGATTTTCGCTGACTATGGCAACCCCGATCCACTTTCATCCCGCTTTTCTCCAGGACGTTCAGCAGCGAAGGAGGGTGGTATAAATTAAAAAGAACGATGTTCTCTTTTCCTATCAAATCTCGATTTTCTCGAGTTTTCCGATTTTCCCTGACTATGGCAACCCTGATGCACTTTCATCCCGTTTTTCTCCGGGACGTTTGGCAGCGAAGGAGGGTGGTGGGATCGGGATGGGGTTTGGGATCTGCCTCGGGTTTGGGGCTCGAGAGGACGCTCTCGGCTCGCGCTGAGATAACGGGCTGGGAGTTTGTTCTTCTGGTCCGGGTTTGGGTGCCATGCTGCGCGGCTCCACCCGTACGCTCGGCCATAACCACCCCGCACATCGCCGCAGCCCACCACACTCATCTCAATGGGGTGGCTCTTGCGGAAGGTCAGGTTCACCCTCCGTCCCCCAGGCCCGAATCCGAATCCTTCAGCCGCTCCACCACCGTTGCCGCTTCGTCCCAATAACCACAATTCTCTTCATCAATCTAGTGATTGATGATTCCTCCCCAGGAAGTAAACAAACATTGATACACTGGTAAAAATAACCTCTTGGACCAATGCCGCATTGCATTGACTTATGAGTGCAGTTTCTTGTCGCCGGATTTAAGAGTCTTGAACTCTTGTTTCAAGCGGATTTTGCATTGATTCAAGCGGATTTTGCATTGAAACTGAAGTCCAGACTCTTAAATCCGGCGACAAGAAACTGCACTTTTGAACCAAGAGGTTTTTTCTTTCCAGTGATACATCGAACTCATCTTTCTGAGGGACGAGTTTCGATTTGACTTATCTTTGTAAAAACAGAGAGCAGGGTGTCTGGTTTTTTTTTTTTTTTTATCATTTTGGGGAATCCTGATGAAATCCTGATTTTTGGTGATTTCTGACTGCTAAATCCTAATTCCATAATTTTTTCAAATCCTGATTATTTGCGGAGAGGTATTGAAAATTTCTGCATAAGCGTATGCGAAAGCAGAACTCTAGAATTTCGGACGGCCGACTTCTCTCAAATCCTGATTTTACGATCCACTTACCTCAAATCCTGATGAAATCGGGATTAAATCCTGTTCGATCTTAAATCCTAATAGAATTGGGAAAATCCTGATGCTAGACACTCTGAAGAGGCATACTTTGGCAGTCTCAGAATGAGAATTTCTTCCGAAAACCCTAAATTAAAGCCATAAATGGAACTAAATGCGAGATATGGCATTCGATTAGTCAAATCTAACTGGGATTTTCGCATTAATTAGTATTAGCTTTTTGGGATTTTCTGAAGAGACTTTTCACCAATAGACTGCTGAAATATGAATCTACACTGTTGCTTTTCTGTTTTCACAAAGAGTAAAAAGTAAAACTCAGGCCTCAGAAAAATTAGTTCGACGAGGCAATGTCTTTTTACTTCCTGGGATGAATCACCTTAAGGTGCATCTCCA